CCTGCTGACGTACAGCAAACGCCTCATTTTCCAATGCACGGAGCCCACCTCTTCCTTTAATCTCCCTCGGTGCTGTGACAGCTCAGCACTGCTGGAAAAGCTAAGCAAAGACTAAACAAAGTTCTCTGTCCCTGATGAAGCTGTGCTACAAATTACTCATTACATCCTGACCTTCCCACTCCAAGATAAAATCCTCCTGACCTCAAAAGTGTTTCGCTCGAAGGAGTACACCTAAGGCTGACAGTGAAGTTAAGCTTTTGCTGCCTGAAAACCAAGTCCTCCCATCCCAACATGGGTTTTAAAATAAGGTGAAATACATCATGGATTTAATTCCAGCTTTCACTGCAAGTATTTTCACTTTCACAATGTAAACTATGTCCAGGGTGCAGTGAGGGGGGGGTTGTTTGTGTTTTTTCCTCCTAAAAAAGAAACCTACACAAGAGATGACAATCTCTTCCTACACAAAGTCTGTTTGTTTTGTTCATATTGCTGGGTTGCTCTCATTCAACTGCAATGATAATTGTCAAAAGTAGAGATACCAAACTTGCTCACATTTCTCTTGCAGTGGGAAGGAAACAAGAGAGAGATCAGCTGACTGCATGCAAGCATTTAGCAACCTGCCTGTGCTGTCACTGCCCTCCGTGAGCGACGGGTGTTTCACAATCAGAAATATGAGCAACTGCCTCAGCTGTGTAGTGCTCAGCCAGCAGCTACAAAAGCGTGGTCCAGACTTAGGAGAAAAGGTAGACAAGACTATAATCACTTTCACCCCAAGGCACACTCTGATTTTCAGTGGGGCAAGTGCATCTTTTATGGTGTCACAGTAGATGCCATTTCTACGAGCAGGAACCGGCACAGACTAACCTCTCCACATCAAGCACTAGGAGCTGCTAATCACAAAGAAACTGGAGTTTACAATGTGACAAGGAAGCCTGCTCCTGACCCACACAAATCCTTCCCCCTTTTTAAGAGACTGAAGTAATCTTCCAGGGTGCTGCCTTGCTGCTCGGAGAAGCACTGCTCTGGAGCCTCTGTGGAGCTTGGGCATGCTTCATGGGAGCAGAAGCAAGACCCATTCAAGTGTTTTCACTCAATATTAAAGCTGCCACTTCCCAATTCTCATGCTTCCCGCAGGGATCAGTCACTGCCCTGTCGGCTTTTTTCCCCAGGGTCTTAATTGCAGCCTGACAGTTTAAAGGGATACCTTTAGAAATACACACACATGCACACATATCCCTTCTCCCAAAGTTGCTACGGTTTGCCTAAAATAAATAAATCCCCAAGACATGGCTACATTTGCAAGTGATTCAGAAGAATGAAATTGGGGTCGCTGTGTCAGTGGGTCTGCCAAGTGTGAATGACAGCATGCTCTGTACAGCCAGCTTCAGCTGCTCCCACCACCAATACATGGGGTTTGCTACCCCTTGTTGCAAGGAGAGTCCAGGCAGCAACAGGGGAATAAAAACAAACTGTAAATACAGGATGTATTATGAAACATCAGGCACTGGTTGCAGGATTTGAGGGGAAATGAGGGAAAATGTAATAAATTATTTTCAACTTCTCTTTTCAAACATATGTGAAGAATCAGCGGGGTTTAAGCAGGAAAGTGTGAGTTTAAATTTCACAATAGTAACAGTGGGCTTGGGTAGGTACATTTTATTGTATAAAACAAACTGCTGCTCTTCCACACATAAAAGAAGGCAGCAGGAGACAGAGTATCATACACAGTACTGCCTAAAGCATGCTGGCTATGTCAACAGATTATCTCGCTTTGGACTGTCTGGACTGTTACTAATATGCAACTGAATATGCAACCAATCCAACAACAACAATGCTATGAAATTATTTTTTAAAATTAAATTATATTAACTTTTTTCTTTAATTATCATGTTACAAATATAAAAGGAAAGCAGATGTGACCATCATGGATGTGCAAGCTGAATATTAATAACAAAAAGCATCCCCTCCCCCTTGGAGGATAAAGCAAAGTTGGATCAGTCCTTTTGCAAATTAAATCCTGAAAGTGTTCGCACTGTAGCTGTCAAGAACCCTCTGGTGTGTTTGCATATACACACACAAAGCTGAAGCCAAAACAATTTTAATAGGGTAAACCTTTAGAGATCCAGCCCTACTCCAGCTGGATGACAATGCTACATCCGAGTGTACCCCTGCAGCCCTACTGTCCACATTTCTCCACACACACACTTTTGAGGAAAAATTAAATGAACATCCCAAGCTATCACCTACTGGAGCCCAACACACAGTACCCTCACACTAGCCAAGACTAAAGTGAATGCTGGTTAAGACGAAACCCAGTGGCTCGTTATTCTTATACCTCCAGTGTCATGGGTCCGTGCGCTGCATTAGGACCACATGTCATCCCAACCACACTCCACTCTTCCTACTCACCACAGGATATTTTTTTTTTCTTGTAAAGAGACAGTAGTTTCCAGGATTTCACCTGGTTTATCACCTCTACCAGAAAAATCACATTAAGAAACAGGATTCACAACATCCTGCCATAATAAGGAATCCTGCCTTTCCTTTTCCCTGAGAATCCTAGCTGGTAACTATTCATAGATCTATGCATTTGGGCTCACAGTCCATTTTATACAACTCTTTTCCTTGTAACCTACTCTTCTGCTTGGTCTTATTTATTCACACCACAAATCATCATTTTAATGCATGTATAATACTTGATTTCCATCTTTATCCCAAATCTGCCTGCATATGAACCCTACAGTGACTCAGAACACATTGCTTTACTGGAACCAGCCTAAGGCGTCATTGTTTTAAGATACAGCAAGAAGTGTGTGCTTCTCTGCACCTTCTAAACCAAGAAAGAATAAAAAAGAATGAAAAATAAGCCACCTCCCTAGTTACACAATTTAGGCTAAAAGCTTTCGCTAGTGCTTTCACACACCTGCCCACCCTCCATCTCCGATTCAAGCTATGATTTTTATTGACATATACTAATTACCTGAAAATAAGAATGATCTATTCCTTTTCCACCAGCTGCCAGATGACAGCACTGGTTGGAAGTGAACAGCTTTGTTTAAAAGAACAAAACCACCACCAACAAAAAGCTCTAAGCTCAAAAATAAAATTAAAACACCCTAAAAACAAAAGCCTAAAGAATGCCACCGGATCTCAGGTGCTGCCGGGTGTGCTCGGAACGAACTGAAGGCAGACAGATACGAATGGACTGCTCAGTCTCTCATGGCAAAAAAAATACAGAGAATTAGAGGTCTACCCACGCAGAAAAAAAAAAACAAAAAGAACCACCAAAAAAAAAACAACCAAAAAAACACCCAACCCTGAATCAAAGAACAAAAATAAAGTCATAAACGCAGCCCCAATGCATCGACTGTCTGCGCTTAAGAGATTTACAGGAGTTAATTTAAATGATTCACCTGCTGCCAGTTTTCCTCCAAGGATGGCAAAGCTGAGAAGTAGCCGGTGTCGTGGACAAGCTGGAGTTCCTGGAATATACTATAACTAGCCAAGACATCCATGCTGCTGCTTGAGCAAGACCCTCTCTTTCTGCTTTTGTGTGTGTTTGTTTGCTGGGGTAGGGGGGTTGTTTTTGATCATAAAAAAAAAAAAAAAGGAGAAGGAAAATCAACCAATGATAGATCCAGCGTCCCTTTGGCTTTGTTTTGTTTCAGTCACACTTTAAAAAAAAGAGAGGAGAGAGAATCAGCGCGGAGGGACGGCGACGGCCGGGGGCCGGGCCGAAGAGGACGAGCGGCGCCGGCACGCACCGAGCACCCCGCGGCCGCCGCACCGGGGAACGTCCCCGCCGCCGCGCACCGCGGCCATGCGCGATGGCGACCGCCCTCCCTGCCCCCTCCCCTCTTTATTTTCGGGAGATCACTTTCCCCCCTCCCCGTTCTCCTCTCACCCTCCCTCGGCAAGCCCGGCCCGGCCCGGCCCCCCCCCCGCCGCCGCTGCCACCGCTCCCTCACGGCCGCCTCACGGCCGCCCCGCCCCCTCCCCCCTTGCGTCGCGCAGCCGCGCGGCCCACTCAGGCAGCGCGTGACCATGTAGGGTAAACGGCGGGGCGGGAGGGGCGGGCCAGCAGCTCTCCTGAAGTCGCTCTCTACCAATGGCGCCCCCGCTCGGGGAACTGGGGGCGGTGCCGGGTCTCGCCGGTGGCTATGCTGATTGGTCGGCAGCGCGGCTCCCACCTCCTCTCCGCGGCCCGCGAGGCGGTGCGCGGAGAGCTATTTTTAGGGCGCTATATAAGGGGGCGGCGATGCGGGCGGCAGCGGTAAAGCGTGGTGTGGTGAGGGGTGGCGCGGAGCTTTCGTGCTGCGGCTCGGCCGCGGCTGCCGGGTTCGACAGGAAAGCTCTGCTAAACCGGTGCTAAACCGCGGCTCTTGGGAGCCGGTGAAAGCCGGCACGGGCGCTTGGTGCCTTCCGAGCAGCCCGCAGTGTGTGAGGCCGTGTACTTGTCTCCAGCCACTAGCGCTCGAGTCCTCGGGGTCTGAGGGTGGACAGACCTAGGAAGGATCTGGGCTTTTTCTAATCGCAATTGTCTGGAGAAAAAAGACAAGTGGGTGACAGGGGGGGCAGAGGGAAGCAGATTGGAAATATACCCTGTGCAGGAGCTGCCGGTGTAAGGAGCACATGGTCGGTGCCTGTATGTGGAGGCAACAGTAACCCGGCTTCTAAGGCAAAGTCAGCAGTGTTAGTGCAGCCAGGCTATCTCCAGAAATGCTTGCGTGCTTATTAAGGCATCTATTACAGCATTTAACCAGGCTTAGCTGTGTTCTGAGCCTTCTGAGTGTTTGGGTTGGCTAATGAGCTGTTTGACCTTAAATGGTTAGCGTGGTGCAGAGCTTCCCCAAAATCGTGCTGGCCCTGGGCATGGTTGTGTTTCTGCTTTTGGAAGGATTGCAGAACCGAGTGCGCTCATTTAAAGATGATGTGGGGAGTGTCCAGTAATGGAAGAAATACGTTCTTTTTGTTGCGCTCGAATGTGGAGTGCACTGTAGTCCCACCAGTTGTTTCGCCAGGGTCCTATCTAGTCACCAGGTTGCTGGATGAGCGTCCCCCGGTGCCATTATATGGTGGACTGTGAGCAGTGTGAGTTTGGGTTATCGGGGCAACCAGATGCTGCCAGGGGTTGTTGAAACTTTCTGGGTTTAGGGCAGTTGCATGAGACTCTTAAGTGACCAAGGTATCTCTACTTGCTGTTGTCTTCCTCTTGCAGCCAGATGCGAGTGCCTCAGCTGGTGTAAATTGGTGCAATGCCACTAGTACATGCACATCCCATGTGTCCCCACTCAGATTGATGTGAAAGTATGAGGCAGCAAAACTCATCAGAGCTAATTGGTTCATGGTATGTTTCCTTTCCTTGTGATGAGAACAAATTGCCTTTTCCAAGACTAAGCCTATGTTAATGATTTTGAAAACCATGTTTGAAGCAAGCTGCTTTTCTGAAGAAAGCCTGAATAATGGTTGCACCAACCCTACATTCTTGTAGGTGTTGGCAAGCAACACTGCTGTAACTTTGGAATAAAGCAGAGTAACCACCACGCTGTAGTCTGGGGAGTCAAAACTGAGAGAGAAAAATGAAGTGTTGCTGAAGGAGCTGCAGTAATCAGGAGAGGCTGGACATGAGCAGCTTTCTCAAATAAATGGTCTCAGCTCTGCAGAAACACTTTCTGGTTGAGTCTTGTGTTGCAGAAGCAGTGGGATGGCTTATGGGAACTGTGGCTCAGGCTTTGACCCTGAAACTGCACGTCTGGATGGTCCAGGGTCATTTTACTTGGAGATGGCTGTATCCTGTGAGCTGCTTGTGAAAACATGTTTCCCAGCCGCCTCCTAGGGAGATGTGGGTTGCCTCAGACAGGACCCTCTCCAGCATCTTTAGCTTAGCAGAAAAGCTTGGTGTGAGGCTGGATGTGAATAATAAACTGCTCTTTTCTCATAAATATACCCATAAATGTGTAAATGTATGTGTTAGTGGGAAGATGAGGGAAGGTTAGCGCAGTGAGCACTGCTGGAGAGGTCTTACAGACTGTTGTTACCAATTCCAGGCATGCCTCAGTCTGGCAAAGTGACACTTCCTGTGCGCCTTGGGAAGGGAAAACTTTGAGACAGAGGAGGACAGTGCTGGACTAAGGTGGTAAGACCTGGAAAGAAGCAGCACTTGGGTATCATAACACAGCTCCTGTACTGAGAGGGCTACGTTAAAAATACCTGTTTCAGAAAAAGCTTTCAGTAAGCATTTATTCTTAAGAGCTTGTCAGATCAAGGCCATATGCATATGCAGAGGCTTTTTCTGATCTAGGCAAGGAAATAGAGGACAAGAACAGGTTTATGGTGTGAGCTACTTAAACATACGTTTTTGTCCTCAAGCTCTAATTCCTGTGGCCGGAAAACATTTTGTTGTTACACTTCTGGTCTTGTTTAGCATAACTACTGTTTCAATATGTAGAAAGTTTAGTGCTCCAATGTCCAAGCTCCCTTCTAACACTGGCATGTGAGGAGACCTAACCTGTGCAAGTTGTGGATTGTTCATGCTTTGGGTTATTGCAAAGCTTGGTTTATACAGGCAGCCCAGGAGTCCCCACTGCCTTGATAGTCACCTGTGCTTGCTGTTGAGTTGCTCTCATTTGAATCAGTTAAAATCTTTCTACTTGTCTGTCTTAGCCTGAACTTTCTGCTGAACACATATCCTATAGGAACAGGCACTTTTCCACCCTCAGGGTGAAGGTGGTTCTCAGTTATGGAGCTCAGCTGCTTTGCACCAGTGAAGTGCCCAGAATGCGCCCAGGTTGTGCTATAACTGGTGGCCAGATCCGGTGAGCAGATGCTGCTCTGCCTGCCCTGGCTGGCTTCAGGAGGAATTGTGTCTGAGGGCAGGATTTTGGCTGTGAGCCTTGAGGTGAAGAGCTGGGCTACAGATCTGGCCGCTTGCCTGAGTGGTTTCCAGGCAGACATTGCATTTTTATTGTCTTGGATATTCTGCTTTGGAGGTCAGTTGAGAAAGCAGAATGGGGCTGTCACTTGGCAGAGCAGAAAGGTGCAGGCAAAATTGAATGTGGTGATATGCTGTGTATAATGCTGTCAGGGCAGCACCTGAGGTAGCATCTACCTGTGCTAACCCAGAGGTAACAGCAGGCTGTTTCTGCCAAGCTCTCTTTTGTTTCCCAGGCTGTACTGACCTTACTCTTGGCAGATGGCCACTTTCCCTGCTCCAGCCCAACCACGCCACCCGTCACGGAGAGCAACGCAATCAGGCGTGGAGGAGGAGCGATGCCTCCCCACTGCTACACAGCTGGGCTCAAGGGCACAGAGGACTACACAACAACTCAGGCAAAGGGTGCAGGCTGGACCTGCAGGGAGTGAGGATGTGTATTTCAGCCATAGCACAGCTCTGTACCGTAATGGGTAAAGAGAATAGCCTGGGCAGGGAGAGGACTTTTTTAGGCGAGACCCAAACTATACATGGTGAAATGCTGGGAAGATGCAGGGAGGTGGAATGGCTGGTTGTGCAATAGCACAGATGGGTCTTGGCACCTGGGAAAAGGGAAGGGGGTGTATCTTTGGCATCAAGGGGCAGTGGGAGTGCTAACCACTAGTTAAAGAAAGTGAAAGAAAACATTTCCTTGTTCCTTCTGCTCTTCTAGAGAAAGAGAAAAAGTGACTTCACTTTTCTGGGAAAAGCTTGAATTTCTCATTGCCTGCCACAAGACCTCTGGCAACGACCTTATCTACCCTCTCCAAGTTGAGAGCACAGAATCACCCCCTGCACTTGGCTGGGTCGCTACAAGCCACTGCTGTGCACAGAATGGCAATTTTGGTTGCTGTGGTTGCTTTCCCTTGAGATATTTCCATCCCTACTGCCTCCAGGAGCAATGGTGAGGCATGTATAATGGGGAATTGACAGAGGCTGATTTACAGGGAACTTTGGGGTGTCTGATTTGTGCTTCATTGCTCTGGTTTGGGCAGTGACAAGGTGCCATAAAACCATCAGGTAGTATATCAGTGTACACTTTAAAGATTTCACTGGGTACACCTCCTTTAGTACCAATGAAACAGCTACACTGAGATCTCTTGTACGCAGCACTTGATGAAGTTTCCAACCCCATGGTATTCTCTGTAGTTGACAGAAGTGCTAAAGCACTTTTTCCTGCAGGGGCAGGTTGGCCTAGGTATCCAGCCTACCAGTTTCTTCTACCCTCATGTCTGCATGTTATGCTGTCAGCTGCACCTCTTCCTCTCCCCAGCTCAGATGGAGAGTTATTACAGCTTTTCTGCATTCACAGCCTGTGACAGGGGTGTTCAGAGCTGTTGGTTCTTCCTTTGGAGTCACTCCTGGAAGGAAGAGGCTGTGCCTGCAGGTTGGGAGGGTTGAAGTTATCACTGATTGTAAAGCCTTAGAGCAAAGGGGGGGAAGAGCACTGAGAAGCCTGCTGGAGTGTGCTTGGCTCTTCAGCTGCGCCCTTTCCAGGAGTGGATGCAGAAAGCTATTGCCAGGGGAACGGTGGTGGTGGTTTATGACCAGGCAGCGTAGTACCGCTGGAAGAGGCTGCCAGAGGCACAGCAGGAGAGCTGAAAAGCCACCCTGCTGTTCAGAGTTGCCACTTCCTGATACCAGAATGTATCTGTGCATCTGTGTCCGTATCTGATGAGAACTAAAATCCCAATAAACATCAAGCAGCCATAACGGAGACAATTTCCTTTCCCCTTGTGAAGCATCTCTGCAAGCCCCAGACAGTCCAGCTGCATCCCTCCCAACTTCTTGCCTCCTCCTCAGACCTCATTTTCCTGGGGAAAGGCCTCTACTGTTGGCCCCATGGCTTTCTCCTATCCCTGCACAGCAGCATTTCAGTGATCTGGAGGGTAGTCCAGTATTTCATGCTTCCTTCTGGCAGGTGCAGCCCAGAAACAACATCCCAAGGGCACAGGGGATGGAGGTGGTTTCCTGTCTCCATGCTGAGGAGCACCATGGCTCTATCTTGCAGCCGTCACCCACACCAGTGCTTGGCTTTGCCTGGATGGGACACTGTGAAACAGGATGATTCTCTGTGCTGGGCATCTGTGGGTGAAGGTGCCTCCTGGCTCCAGCGAGCCACAAGCTGCTCCACGGATCTGCAGCGATGGATAGGGACACCAGAGGCTGTGTCACAGCAGCTTCCTTGTGCCTCCCCTCCTTCCCAAACACAGGCACCATTTGACTTCCCTTCCCTTTCAAATCAGTGCCCTGCAGACATTGCAGTGGGTTAAATTGCAGGGCAGCTAAAGAGCATGCTTCAGGATTAGAGATGAATGGGTTGAACCATAATCATAGCGCAGAGTATCCAGAGTCTCGGTGGACATTGCAAGTTGATCACTGGCCAGATGCAGAAGCTGTTTGGTGAGAAAGCAGTATGTGCCATCCTGAAGCGAAATATTACCCAGTGGAGTTCTCTGGGCTGAGACAAAAATCAAAGCCCAGTGCACCAAGGGGATGTTAGAAATCAATGCTGAATGGGCCTGATCCAGATCTGGCCTGGAGGCTTTTGACACCCCCATACTGAAAAGACAGTGAGCACACTCAGCATGTAAAAGGACTGAGTTTCCGCTTTGAAAGGGGAAGGAGTCTTCATCTGCTGTGGTTTGTTCACATGCTCTAGGGTTTTTGTATTTCTTGTAACCATTTTTGCCTTATGGCTGTGGCTGTTCACATAAGGCTTGGCCTCTCTCTCCTGGTTTTCAAAGTCAGAATGCAAAGCAGTGCTGTCAGGAGAGCACTGCAGTGACTCTCAGAGCAGTATGGTGAGGGGTGAAAGCTTCCAGAGGCAGACAGGTATAACCTCAGTGTTACTGGTGGGAAACATGATTTCCTTTGGGTCCCACTGACAGCTCTGAACCCATCTGGATCTTACCGCTCCCTCTGCTGTCTTCGGAGTCCTCCCTTCTGCCTGAAGTGATCTGTATGTTTCTGAACCTCTTAGCAAGGGCAGTTATCATTGCTATTCTGTTGGGTGTTCAGCTTCTGGTATAAACAGTCTCTGATCATATTAGTAGGCTCTCAGGTACTTCTATATTACAAATAATAAATAATAATGAGCTGCAAGGAAAGACCTCTGAGTTTTGGGCTCAGGCTGGACACGGCTTCCACATGAGGTGTCCACTTTATAGCTCTTTCTGGGCTGCTGTTACTAGCAGTGCCACAATGCTGCTGGGGAGAGGCCTGAGAAGAGGGTCCAGCAGCCTTTGGAGATGCTGTCAGCAGACAGGAGGAATACACATTTGTGTGCTGTGTCTCTGGGTTGGTGACCTTTTAATGACTGAGTTAGATCACACTAAGGTAATTTGTAGGAAACCTTAAAATAAAATAGGAGAATATTGGCATGGTTCAGCAGATGGTAACGAGGGACTGGTTTGTGTTATTACACACATTACTCTGGACAATGTGTTGGTTTGTCTTTAGCCAGCAAGGGCCCCTTTAAGAAGAGCTGGCATTGCAGCACAGGTGACACACACAGTGAGGGGGGCTTTGCTGTGCACAGCTCTTCTGCAGCACCACAGCAAGCACCAGTGGCACTTGGTCCCTGGGGGAAGGAGAGGGCTCTCCAGAAAGCAGGGGTTAGAGCAGTCTCGTCTGGTTATCTTCACAGACTTTTCACAGATGAAGGAAATGCATTGAAAGCAAAGCCTGTCTTCTGCTGGAAGCTGCAGGACTCTTACTTTCGCATCCTCTTGGGGGATCCTCTTAGTCCTGTGCCTTACAAGAAGCTGCTGAAGACGTGGCTCTCACAGTCAAGTGCAAATGTGTGAATAAGGAAATGCTGGAGTGCAGGCAAGCAAGCTGGAGGCTCAGAGCCTAGCAGAGTGGGTCATGCTGGGCGCATGTGAATGTCCTGGCTATGCTGCTGCTCACTTGATGGACAGCTTTTCGTGTTCCCCAAGAGGTGTGTGAAGAATAAAATACCTGGCTTGGCAAAAGCACGCACGTACCCCACAGCAGTGGCCAGGCATACTACAAAGAGACTGGAGCCAAACTCAACCCCAGCCAAGAGTCCCTGCTGTGATTTATCAGTCAGGCTCTGCTGGTGTGACACAGGGACATCACCTGGGTATTGCAGCATTTTCCCCTCTAAAGAACATCTCTTTGCAGACTGTTGTTGTACAAAAAGAAAAATGAAAGATGGAAATGGCTTTTCCTTGGGGAAAAAAAAAGGAAAGCGTTGCTCACAGCCAGGCTCTTCAGGGGGCTTAGCCCTTTCCTGCTTGGCAACTGTGAACAGCTGAGAGGAAAATGGATGTTGTTAAAGAGGGACAGTCTGTCTTTGGGCCTCTCTCCCACCACAATCTTTGTTCCTTGGCTTTTATTCCCTTGAGGGTCTACGTGGCTCTGTCTATAGCATGACCAACACTCAGCAGAGCATCTCATACCCATCTGACCTGTGTTGCACACTGCATCACTGAGTGATGGATACCTGGCTGCTAGTACAAAAACAGTAGCACCAAGAATGCTCCATTAGTCCTGGGGTGTTGGTTAGACAACGCTTAGCCCAAAGTCACAAAGCAAGTCAGAACCCAAAATAAAACCCATATTCTCTCAAAGTGCAGATTAATACATAGGGACTGCCCTGTAGCTATTGTATGTGCTCCCTTGGTGGCTGGAAAAGACTGCTGCTTCAGTTTGGGAGTTGAGGGAGCTCTGTTCAGCTCTCCTTTCCTCTGGGGCAATGCTCAGCAGGGTGGCCAGCAATTTGTCATCTCTGCCATTTCTACCCATAGCAATTCCTGAAACAGGGAGAAACTGGTTATTACTATTCAAGACACTAGGAACATTGCAAGATGATTGTTTTCTAAGGGTTGGGGAGATCATTTTATAAAGTGGAGGTTGCCTGCAGAAGGTGACTGGGCAGTTGTTCTTTTTGAGGAGAGAAATAAAGAGGCCATACAGTTCATAAGTGGTAGCTGAGAAGACCTGAGTCTTGTTCTGCAATGTCCTGCCTTGAGAGCTGGTTTGTGGGTGGCTGAGAGGGGAGCACCACCAATGATGATGGGCATTGTCATGCCTGCCTGAGCTTTGCAAGCAGAAGGCATGTGTCTGTCATGCCTGAAGGATCCCTGCTGATTTTTTAAATCAGGAGTTGAGAGACAGAGGTGCAGAGCCTGGAGAAGTGAAGGAGGTGGAGGACATCTTTCCAGAAACTCTTGCAGATTCTTGGAAGCAGGCAAGTAGGGTCTGTGGCTGCTTCAGTCTCTGACCTCACTTTCTCTCCAAAGCAATGCATGAAGGCATCACTGGGTCTTTGATAGGGGAGTCACAAGGGCTTGCATGGCCTGTATAGGTGAAGGGCAACACTGCCTTCCCTTTGCTGTCAGTACAGCTCTGCTGAGAAAAAAGCCCTCTCCCATTTGGATTAGAAGGAAAAGCTCTAGCCACAGACTTCCCACCCTTCAGCTTCTTCACCCTGTGTAGACCCTGGTTCACCAGGGCCCACCCATGGGGACCAACTGGGGGCTGAATCTCTGCCCTTCTGCATTTTTCAAGTGTGTAGTCCTGCTGCAGAGAACGCCCTGAGAAACCATGACTAATTCATTTCTGGGCAGAGCCACAGTGTGCAGATATATTTTTGCAGTATTTTTTTATGAACCTGTTTGCTGGATTACGCACAAACTTGTGTGTGTTTTCTGCGAGTTGCCATGAGGAAGGTTAGCAGAGTATTCCTGGAAGAGCTTTCACCCAGCACTTGTGGTGTTAAGTGTGATCCTGACTTTATAAGCCGGGAGGATTGCTCTTGCTGTGCCAAAACTGGGGATGCGCAGTCCTTCTTAAGAAGAGCGACTGCTGCAGGAGCTCACTCCAGGTCCCTTTGAAGTCAGTGGCAGATTTCCCATTGACTTAAGTAGGAACATGTGTTTCAAGAAATGAATAATATAAAGCTTGAAAAGCAAGGAGCAGTATGGTCAGGGCATGGCCTGGTTTCACCTGAGATTCAACTTGTGTTTCACTGCCTCCGTCTCTCAGCTGTACAGTAAGCAGTGTGAGTTGGATTTGTGGAAGAGACTTATGTACTATGATTAGTAAGCTACGTTATTAGCATTAA